ATATGGTTCGAAAAATGAGCCTGTAGCTCAAAATACAATTTTCGGTTGGGTGATTGCTGGGAAGGTCGGAAATAATATGGAAGGCCCAAAAACAGCAAATGCACACTTCATAAAGTTAGAAGATAATATAAATATTGATTACGAACTTAAACGTTTCTGGGAAATGGAGGATATTGTCGATGTTGGGAAGAAGGAATTTCTGACACCTGAGGAACAATTTTGTGAATCACATTTTCAAAACACTCATGCTGTTAATTCAGATGGGCGATTTGTTGTAAAACTTCCATTTTATAAATCGCATTTGAAGTTGGGTGATTCAAAACCGGCAGCAATTTCTAGGTTGCGTTCCATGGAACGAAAATTCAAAGATAATCCGGAATTTGAAAAACAGTATAAAGATTTCATACGTGAATATGAACAGTTAGGACATATGACTGTGATTAATGATGATTTATCTAACAGATCGGATACAGAAAAGTTTTATCTTCCTCATCATGCGGTAATTAAACCTTCTAGCACAACGACAAAATTAAGAGTAGTTTTTGATGCATCCTGCAAATCTGAAAATGGTATATCATTGAATTCTCTTTTAGGGGTAGGTCCGAAATTACAAAGAGATATTTTTGAGATTTTGATTAATTTTCGATTTCCTAAAATTGTTTTCACAGCCGATGTGGAGAAGATGTATCGTCAGGTGATGGTAGCCCCTGAAGATCAGAATTATCAATTGATACTTTGGCGATACAATTCCAGTGATAAAATGCGCACGTACAAGTTGAAAACAGTTACTTATGGTCTTTCCTCTGCTTCATTTTTAGCAACTCGATGTCTGAAGCAGGTAGCTTTAGAGTCTAAAGAGGAATCAGATGTATCTCGTATATTGCAAGAGGATATGTATATGGACGACTTATTGTCGGGTGCAAATACAGTTGATGATGCAGTATCTGTCTGCAAGAAAATATCTTCAATTTTACATGCACGTGGTTTTGATTTGAGGAAGTGGAATTCAAATTCTGTAGAATTCTTAACTGAATTTAAGGAACATTGTTCATTGAATTCTGATTTTGAGATATCTCCTAATTCGAGTTCGAGAAAGTCTTAGGACTTTTTTGGAATTCAACTACTGATACCTTCAGTTTTAAAGCTACACTGCACATCAACGCACCTATAACAAAAAGACGCATATTAGCAGAATCTGCTCGCATTTTCGATCCTTTAGGTCTCTTATCTCCTTGCACTATATTGATTAAAATATTCTATCAAAAACTATGGTTAGTTAAAGGCGACTGGGATTCAGTTGTTCCCCAGCATATCTCAGATGATTGGTTTAAATTTCAAGAGACATTCAGTCAAATCAATAATTGTGAAATTCCGAGATGTGTCATACTTACAACGGACAGTGTTATCCAACTACATGGATTTTCTGATGCATCTTCGCAGGCTTATGCAGTGCAATGGTACGGTTAAGGTTAATCTTTTGGTATCAAAGACTAAAGTCGCGCCTATAAAGCAAGTATCCATTCCTCGATTAGAACTCTGTGCTGCGTATTTGTTGACCAGATTAATGCGATCTCTATTGAACATTTTAAAGAAGTTTGATTTTGAAATCTTTGCGTGGACGGATTCCAAGGTAGTTCTGTCTTGGCTATCAGCTCATCCACGTAAGTGGAAAACTTTTGTGGCAAACAGAACATCTCAAATCATAGAAGTGATACCTATTAAACATTGGAATCATGTTCCCTCTAAACAGAATCCTGCAGACATTGCTTCTCGTGGTATTGAACCTCAACTCCTACCAAATTGTACTTTGTGGTGGAATGGTCCACCATGGTTGCGTCAGGAAGAGGAAAAATGGCCTAAATATGAATTAAAATCTGAAGATGATACTGAAGTAAAGGCCGAACAAAGATCTGATCCTATTTTTATTTCTCATATACGTGAATCGAATGATTTATTAGCTAATTTGTTCGAGCATTATTCTTCGCGTTGTAAAATTGTTCGTATTCTGGCTTACTGCCAAAGATTTATTACTAATTGCAAGAAGCATCATGTTACTCAGAACATTTCACGTAGTGGCATTAACTCCAGCTGCCTTATGCCGCTAACATTTCTAGAGATTCGAGTAGCAGAAAATTTCATTATTCGTTGGATTCAGAATCATTATTTCAAAGATGATTTACAATGTATTAAAGAAGAGAAACCTTTACCCAAGAAGAGCCAACTACGTTCTTTGTATCCATTCGTAGATAAAGATGGTCTCTTACGGGTGGGAGGACGTCTTCGAAATTCATCTTTAGCATTTAACATCAAACATCCTGTCATACTTCCTTCTCGACATAAATTTAGCGAATTACTAGTGAAAGAACTTCATATTACTTACCTTCATGCTGGTCCTTCTTTATTATCACACCTCATCAGACAATCTTACTGGATAATTGGAGGAAAGAAACTGATACGCAGTTGTGTCAACCATTGCTTAATATGTCATCGATTTAAAGCTGCTTCAAATCCGCAATTGATGGGTGACTTACCTGAACATCGTGTGACTTTGGAACGACCTTTTTACGCATCTGGTGTGGATTACGCTGGTCCTATTACCATGAAATTTAATAAGGGTCGTGGCTCTAAAACAACGAAAGGCTATATAGCTCTGTTTGTTTGCTTGTCGACTAAAGCTGTGCATATAGAAGCAGTCAGTGACCTGACGGCAGACTCGTTTATCGCTGCACTTAGACGTTTCATTTCACGTCGCGGTGCACCACGGCACATTTACAGTGACAACGGTACCAATTTTGTGGGAGCATGCCGAAAACTACAAGAACTAAATCAGATTTGGTCTTCCTTGTATGCAACAGAAACGCTTCGCCACACTTCGGAGGAATATGGGAAGCCGGCATTCGCTCAGCGAAATTTCATCGGAGAAGAGTATTGAAAGAGACTCTTTTAACTTACGAAGAGTTATCAACGCTACTTACCCAGATCGAGGCTATTTTGAATTCACGTCCGCTTACTTACGTGAACGATACTGATATTGACTTTATTAATGTTTTAACCCCTTCTCATTTTATTACAGGTGATACTTTAACTTCCTTTCCAGAGACCATCAATGTTTACGCACAAGGAGTTCTAGGTGGGAACTTGTACAGAATCTACGTCTGGGATTCTGCAATCGATGGAAAAGGGAATACTTGACTTCTCTTCAGCAGAGATCCAAGTGGCAGCACAACAGACCCAATCTAAAGATCGACACGGTGGTTCTTGTCATCGAAGATGGATCTCCACCTCTAGCTTGGCCTATAGGACGGATCATCGATGTCCATCCGGGCAAGGACGGCTTAGTTCGCGTAGCTACAGTCAAAACTAAAACTGGTGTTTTCAAAAGACCAATTAATAAACTTTCACCTTTGCCTGTGTATCAGGACTAAACCTGATAGGGTGGGAGTATGTTCACTTCCACGCCTATCGAATTAATTTCTACCTTTTCGTTGCCCTGCGTTGGCAACACGCTTTTGAGATTTGTCGTTCGTAGAATTCGGTCGCTAAAAGCGTAGCTGACCTGTAACTGTTGTAATTATTATTTTATGCTTATCTGTACTGCTGAATTATTACTAAATGTTTACGTGTGAATGTTTTATTATTAAATGTATTCAGTTTGGTTTAAATAGACGAGAGTGACTGAATTTATTAAGTATATTTAAAGTCGAAACTGCGTCATCCATGTCGGCCTCATTCTAATACGAGGAACGTAAACAATTGTTATATGTTCAACATTCACCATTAGTACATGGTGAATGTCGACATTCACGGGTGTAAGTCAGAAATAAGAGTATTTGGAAAATACTTCGGACATACACCAAGAGACTAACTATGTGAATGTTGACATTCACCGGGGAAAGTCGACATTCTCCAGATTTCGGTGTTTCACCGTAACATATATATATATATATATATATATTATTATTATTATTATAAGGAACAACCCTGATCCTCCTAGTAGGCACGGCTTGCTTGTGCCGTGCCGACTAATAATTCAGCAGTACAGATAAGCCTAAACATTTGAATTGTGCCGTATCAACAATTCAAATGTTTAGGTGGGGCTCGGTGTAACGAGGCGCCATTTGTTTACATTTGAAACTCTTAGTAGAGTATAGTGAATTAAGTCAGTTTGTGCACTAACTTCAGTGTCTTTTTGCCCAGTGGGACCGAAAGTTAATTTTCAAGTCTGTGCAACGAAAATTTGGTCTTCCACCCATTAGCCGAATTGCTTGTTTTGGCGTAGAAACTCTGATTTTAATTGTAAAAATTGTCTTTATGTAACTGATTTTAACCGTATTTGGTGTTTTACTTTTTTTTTCTGTATTTTACAATTTTTAATGAAGATGTCTTGAGTTTTTATGCATTTTTGCCTTGCCGTGAAGTGAGAGCTGAATTGATTGAATGAGAAATATATATGTAATAAAATTCGAAGAGATAAGTTTAAACGAAGTGCAGCAAAATATGTGTATAATTTAATAGGCCGTACAAGGCATATGATATCCACATGAAGTTTTTTTCCCCGACTATTGCATTACTAACTGAAGTTATTTAAGCAGCAGAAGTAAAAGTGAGGAAGAATTAAAAAAGATTCCATGGTCATTTTTGTGTCCTTGAATCACATTTAAATGTACGTGATTTTCATGTAAATAATTTTAACATGCAAAAAGGTCAAAAAGTTAAAAGAAGTTTATAAAACTAAATTAAAGCCAAACAGACAAAGGGGGGGGGTTTCTCTTTGAAAGTGCCGATTTGAGTAATTTTCAAAGCAACCACTTGATCGAGTGGTTAAATTATACAGAAATCTGCTTCCTTTCTTTTTAATATCATTGTGATTATTTCTACACTACTCTTTGTTCAGGGATTGTTTTATATATTCTTTTAATTTTCAAAACGAGTGTTAGTTTGAAAGGGTTAATTCAACTTCAATGAATATGACGACCAGCTTTGTTAAAAATTTAGCGTACCTGTTAAGTCTTTGTTCCGATCAAGAAATCTGGTTATTGTTCCGTTCAAAAATCTTTGTTCTGAGATGCTGCAGCTGCCTCCAGACAGATGGATATTTTTCTAGCTGATGTATCGCAAACCATCTTCAATCCTTCTTAAATTCTCCTTACTCATGTGTTGCTGTATCTGTGTTTAAGAAAAACAAGATTTGAAAAATTGGAAATATCTTTTTACATCCAAAAAAAAAAAAAAAAAAAAAAAAAAACAACAATTTACCAACTGACCAAGATTTTAGAATTTGACCAAGATTTTAAGAAGTTAGATTTTAGAATTTCGAAGAAATGAATAATAAGTTTTTGTTCGCCAGTTAGTTTTTAATTATTCATTTCATTCTTTAATTCGAAATAGATTTTGCTAACAAATGATAAGTACTTACATTCTGATTATTAGGAAAAAATAAAATTTGTGTATTTTTATAGAAGGCTTTAGGGTATTTTCTCCCTCCTTTCTTCATGCCTTCGTGGTGTAACGGTAGCACACTCGGCGCATATTCGAGAGGTCCAGTGAGAGGGCATTGCTCATTTTTCGTGTCTCCAGTTTCAAAATAACCTAATGTCTCTACAAGGCAAGTAACGAAATTCAGTAGAAAAATTATCATAAATAAACACGAAAGTTATTACTGCAAATATCTATTGTATGAAATGAAGTTTTATACTTATTTTCTAGCATTTTCATTGTGATTACTGTATAGCCGTATTACTAATGCATAAAATGGAATGAAGAGAAATACTACGTTCTCTGTAAAGCATTAGAATTTATACTGAAAGTATACGCATTAATGATGAAACTTCTATAAAGCTGGACTGAGCTGCAATAAATTGTAATCAACAATACATTTCGTAATTTTGCCAAATTTATATCGAATTCCTGCATTTGCGAATAATTCACTTTTCATGAATCCGCCCCACTTAAAATAAAAGAGTTTATACTTCCGCTTTTACATTATAAGGTATTTCTCCCTTCTTAGCAAGTCTGCGTGGTGTAGTGGTCAGCACGCTCGGCGCGTATTCGAGAGGTCCGTGGCTGGAGTCCCGGCGCGGGCGTTGCTCATTTTCCTCTCTCCTCTCAAAAAATGTCTAATGTCTCTGCAACGTAAAAGCCTGAGATAGCCTAAAGCTTTTCTTCTTTAAAATAATTTAAACATTAATCATCTTAAAACCTTCTTAATTTAACTGACATTATAGGATTTGTTTAGTTCTGTGCTAATAATCTGTTGATTATCCATCCATAAAATATTATTAATTTAAATTACTATTTAAATTGTAGAATCCCACATTTTTAGGTAGCATACACTAAGTCAAGACTCTGTATTAGACACAAGCGACTTATCACTATGCCCAGATAAACAATAGAACGTAAGAAGACTATAAAAGACCGGGTTTTTTTTTTTTTTCTTTCTTTTTTTTTTTTTTTTTTTTTTTTTCAGAACTCAAATAACCGAACCGAAGGCACCGCTTGGGCTTACAAAAGCAGCCAGCATTTATGGCATGACTCAAAAGTAAGGAATTTCAAATTTAAGCTAAGCTAAATGATAAATTAACTAAAAGATACGCAGAAATAATTAACGCGCAAGTTGACTTCAAATCTACACCGGCGGGACAAGCACTATTGACCAGAATAAAAGCAACGTCGAAGATAGAATGCTACCATAGAATTGCAACTAATAACACGGCCTTCAGCAGGCGGATCACTCTCTGTCTAAGCAGTCTGAAACCTTCCCTTAAATACTATCTCTATCTCTCTCATTAAATACACGCAAATTAAATTTAACACTTCGGCAGGAAAACGGAAAGGGAGAAGTGACAGTAAAGATGCGTAAAATAAAATAACTGATTGATTAAAACAAATAAATGCTTTACAAAACAATTAAAATTCTTACAAATACTTATCATATAAATAGGTTTTTGATTAATATGTAATGTTTTATAATATCACATTCTGTATAACGTTTTTTTTCCAGCCCAAAGGGCTATTAATTTGGTTTTGCCATTTTGCGTCGAAAACTTTAAATGCCAGTGCCTTTTTAAAATTGTTGCAACCAAATATTATCGCTCAATGTTATATTTATAGAAGTTCAATGTATGTCTGTTTCTCGCATTGTGATAAAACAACGAATAAATATCTAGAGCCGTGAAGTTTCGAATAACGTTATACGAACATTAAATTTTTTTTTTTTTTTTTTTTTTTTTTTTTTTTTTGTGTGTGTGTGTGTGGAAGCAGGCAAGATGAAAAATTAGCAACATCTTCTCCGGGAATCGATTCACGGACCTCTGGAATACGCCCCCAGCGTGCAGACCACCACACCACGAAGGCATGCTAAGAAGGGGGGAGAAATACCTTATAACGTAATCTTTCTAAGCATTTGGAAGCCCTAATTTAGAATTTGAAATTTGTTTCATTATCAATTTCATATTTTGTAACACTTCAACGAATTTTTTATTAACAAACTCAACGAGCGATGACGAAACTGTACAAGCGATGGCAACAAACAGAGGGAGCAATGGCAAAACTGTACGGGAAAAAAAAAATTCTCCAGCGCGCGAGACAGTGTATCAAAAATTCTAAAGAAATGCTCATTTAAAATTTATTTTGCGTTATTGCTGTCGAATTGAATTTTATGGTTGAAGTGCAAAAAACCTTTAATAAATAAAGATAACGCACAAAAGGTTAAAAAAACGTCCATTTGGGCCTACAGTTCGTTAGTACCTCAGTAATACAATATTTAGACCCAGAAGATTATCAGGATTCAGTCTTTTCACCAACAGAAAGTTCTAAATTTTACGAACAAATTAACTATACCCGTCCTTCTGAAGTTTAAAAGAATGGTGAATTGGAGCATAAAGACATTTTCTGCAGAATTCTTGGTAAGAGAAGTGGTGCTTATTTTGGCTTAAAAGCTGAGTTATTTTTGATTTTCCTCTACGTCTGGTTTTTTCAGATGCTTTATTCCAGATATATGGATGAAGTATCAGATATTTTGAGCAGCCAACTGTAAAAATTTTCAAATTGCCTCATCTAACAGCCCACACATGGATAAATGCATTTGGTTTGGGATTTTTTAAACAAGAAATCTGAAAAGCTGACAGAACGCCTTTCTAAGTTCTTTATATTCCAGGTGCGTAGGAAAAAGTTTATGCATTGGTTTCCTTTTGATATTCCCATTTAGATTACTATTTTATAACTGCATTCCTGAACCAATAATAAGAATAGGTAGAAGAGAAATACATAATCTATAAAAATACGACAAAATTTAGAAAATCTGTGAGAGAAGTTTCCCAAGTATATTCATTGCATGTTTGACATTTCATGAAAGCTCGTTGCCAATCTAGTTTAACGTTTTATGTTTGATGCAAGTATGCATGTTATTGGCAATGTATGAAAGCAGGCACTGCAATAGAATGCTGCCTAGGTAATAGAATTGGACGTCAAAGTATGAAACGATTAATATTTCGTACATTTCCTAAGCATTCTATGTAATGTGGAAAGGCAAACCTGTAAAGTTTAAAATACTCTGGCCTAGTGAGGTTTCTAATGCAATGTGTCTAGGCGTTCGACGCTCGCCTGAGACGGAAAATTCGTCATCTGCATTTCAGTCTTGTGTGTCGAAAGACACTACTTTGCATTCGTTCAGAAAAGATCCTATTGCTGTGCTGGATGAAAATGGAAGAGCAAGATGTAGTGTTCAAAAAGGAATTACGGTATGCTGACGTGTAAAACGAAGATTCTTAGATGAATTGTCTAGAAGGCGAGCCTTGACTGCAAAAAACAGTATTTTCCTAACCGAAAGTACATCTAGAAGTTAGTGAGGAAAAGACTAACACTAAGAAGGAATGAGACTATCGGCTGCTGAATAGCTATGATGTGATTGAACGGAGAAAAAGTATAAACTGATATGTCCTGCTGCCTTATCGCTATCGAGTTCTAAATCACCTCTTTTCAAAAAATATATTAAAAAGAAGCCTTAATATTTTGCCTAAATAGCATTTGTAATTTTATATAATGTCTTAGCATTACATAAAAAACCTAGACAAAGTATACATAATATTAAAATAATTCGGGTATTTCATACTTTATTGAAAAATGCCAGTCATTCAAGATATTGCTCAGATATTCTATAGATCCGTTCATATATTGCCGAAACATATGTAGTACATGTGGTTCTTTAAATGCGCTTAGAACATTAAGGCAATGAGCATATAGATAGGTAAATAATCCTAATGCAATAAAAATGGCAGAGATATTTTTGGAAAATAATCAGGAAAACATATCTCTTTCATGAACTATTTGGGAACATCATGCGTTGTGAGGAAAGCAAAGGCTTAGACAATTGAGCCATTGACAATTGGACAATTAGACAATTGGCTATTTGAGTTATGATAATTTTATGATAACTTTTTTAGGTTATTTGAGTTATGAATACATACGCATTGTGTAATTCTTTTTTTCTTTCTTTCAACAATAAATATAATTTTACAACAATTAATCTCTATTAATACAGCATTTACGCTGTATTATATACTTCACATGTACATCATTTTAAAGCGCCTAAGAAGACTAAAATGCTTTCTATAAAGCATTATAAAGTCCCGTATTCTTTGGTAGCATCAAATGTATGAAAGATTCAAGACTTTTATCACTGTGTTTTGTAAAGCACCAAAGTGACTAAAAAAGAGTCTAAAGTATCCTTTTATTTAACTAAAATTAAAGTTAATAAAAGTACTATTCAGAAGGTTACAGAAACCAGCAATTATAATTTAAATCAAGGATAATGAATTTGACTTAACTAATTAATGGCAAGTTAACCTAACCACTACACAAGTAGAGTAACGCGCAAGTTGGCTCTGACTTAAAGTCCGCGTAAAAGGCCTAATGGCTAGAATAAAGCAGCGCCGCGGAAACAGCTCTCAAGAGAGTGAAAATAACAAGCCTTGAGCAGGCGGAACACGTTCTAATTCTACCCTCTAAAACCTTCCTTTAAGTATTATGTCCTTGTTACCTCATCTGAATACAAGCGAGCAAGAAATTTATATTCTGACGGGAAAATGGAAAATGAGAAGGAAGGAAAGCAAATTAACATAAATTCACTAGTTAGTAAAACCAGCAAGTCTCTACAGTATATAAG